TCTATATGGATGTATTTTTTTCTCCTGTGTTACTGATGCTACATATTCAGATCACTGCATCTCTAAAGTCTCGGTACTCAGGGTTTTGCACTCAGAATCTAGTTACCTCCCCTGGTCAATCACTGAGAAATACAATCCTTATTTTTGGGTTGCAGTGCAAATAATTTTTGAACTTGTAGAGAAAACTATATGAAAGAATTGCAGTAGAACTTTTTTCTTCTCCTCTTTGTGATTCTGTTTTAAGTTTTTTAAAACAATTTGGATTCCACAACAAGGAAATTTTAATTAGTCTCTATGCCTTTTCAGTAGACGCCTACTTCCAAACTCTGGAAACACAGAAAAAGAAGGGACAAATCATCAAATGTAGCTAGGTAGAGGAAGGGCAAAAAATTATTTATATTTGACATCTGAGGTAAAATATATGCAGCAAAGACAAGCCAGTAGTCTCGTCTTGTGGCAAAGGGCAGAGAGCCACTGCTGCTGAAGAAATTATGAACAATCACAGGTGTCCAAGCAGCTTCCATGGGATGCTGGAGTGGCTCCTGATGGGTACAGGGACAGCAGAAACTGCCAAGACTAGTTGGCAATTTTCTTTCATTGCAATATGGTTTTCTTTACTTGGTTTGGATAAGTGGTAAGAGTGCTATAGGTCACTTTTGGTGGAAAAAAATCTACAGGATTTAACAACAGAAGATAAGTGAATCCTTTTCTCTCCAGTGGGGGAAGAGAAGGTAATGAGACAGCAAGAAAGACCTTGATAATCCATATTTCTTGGCAGAGACTTTTTAAAGAATTTGGCAACAAACCTTTCCTATTTCCTAGCTACTCTAAATTAGGCAGATTACGGTGAAAATTTTCTAAAAATCAAGTGGCAGAAAGGTGAATAACCCACACTGGGAAAAAAAAAACCATAAGGTAAGGTCCTATCTAACATTTGCTCTTTTAAAACTGTTTTCCTCTTGATTACTTTCCTATTTTAAAGGTCTATTTGCTGGGGAGACACTGCAATTTGGTCTCTCTGACCTTTGGCAGATGCAAAGCTGGAATCCTGCCTGTGTTATTTGCTTGTCTTAGGCATTTCCATCGGTTCCTGAAAACTTCTGTCAAGTTAAGAAACTGAAAGAAAAATTTGATAATAGCCAGGCAAAGCAAATTATAGCATACCAGTTTCACTAGAAGCAAAAAAAGAAGGCTCCTTCTCAAGCAATCTGTATTCTGTTGCAACTCCCTTATCAAGTTAGCTGTAATCAAAGTTCTCTTAGGTCCTGTAGCTCTACTTGGGTAACATTTTTCTTAACTTCTGAATTACTGCTGAGCACAGATGTTTATTGAAATCCTGTTTCTGGTAAAGATTGCTACAAAATTACCGTTAATTCACACAAATTTTTGTTTCTGTCTTGAATTAAAGTAGATCAGATGTTTTCCAGTGCATAACATTTGCTAAAGTCAGAAGAAAGGCAAGATAATCTAGTGGTGATTGAGACATTGTTGGCATGTCTCAGAATATCTGACTTTGAAGTTGCACAGGGTTGATGGCACTGACTGAAGTGTGGAATTTTTTTTTTTCCTGCATCCTAATGTTTCAGTAAGGAAAAGGAGGGGAAGGATTTCCTCTGAGATATTTTTCTTTTCTGTTAGTTTATACATGACGACTGGAAAAAGCAATAAGTAGTTTATTTTCAGTCAAACATATCTGTTTGACAGCACCTGTGGAGGGGATATGCTATGCAAAATAAAAGAAGGAGTTATAAGGAGGATAAGGCTGATGACACACGGGACGTGGGCAGAGTTTTAGCTGATCAAATCCAGCCATCGATGCTGAACATGGCTCTTTGTGCCATGGGGAGCCTGAAGTGGGTGCCTGAGTTGCTCATGACAAATCAAGCCCTTGGAGCCTGACCACATTGTCCTGGGGCAATCCAGGGGAGGTGGATACAACCCTCTGCAGGTGAGGGACAGGGAACAAGAGTCAGGAGTGCAGCCCAGGGCTCTGGCTGCACTGCTGGCATCTCAGAGCCTGAGCCAACACAGAGCAGCAGCTGCAAGAGCTCAGTCACAGAAGGAAGGCGTGTTCTCAACCCTTTCAGCACCTCTGAGAAATCTCTCTTTGGAAGCACCGCAGGAACAAAAATCCTGCCCAGGTGAGGCTTCCTCCCACCACCAGGATACATCATCACCAGCCCAGCAGTGTCACAGAGGTACTGTGAGCTGGGAAACACTGCTAAAATCATACTCACTGCTTTAATCGACTCTATCTTTGCCTATTTATTTTATTGATGTTTTATTTGTCTTGTTTGGGACAATAAAACGTGGAGTATATTATTCCTATTTGTTTTGTGATTACCACAATGTAAACATGGCCAGAATTTAAGATAAAGATTTTTCCTATACTTTCGATATAGTTTTCTGTACAGTGCCTGTATTCAAACCGAGAGGAATATAGTTTCACTATTGTAAGCACTCAGTAGTGCCTCCATGCTCATACTGCAGATGGCTGTGAGTATTCTAGCAAGCAAAATGAAAGCTATATTTAAAGTTTCATTGAGTTGCTACCATAGTTCAGATGTTTTAAACTTCATAAACTTGACCCCATTAAACTAGTACTTTCTGCTTTATTTTCTTAAGCTCCTTAAGACAGTGAAACGTAATTTGAACAAATGTGCTGATATTTCCACTGCTGGTTGAACTGGTAAAAGGAATTATTTAATTGCAATAAGAGTTAAATAATAATTAATTTTTTTAAATGAAGTTTTGCTGTGTCTCTCAAATAAACCACTCTACCATTTAGTCTCTAAAATGTAAAGTAATCCCACTTAGTCTTTGGAATTGTTAAACTGAAAAATTATTTTGGTAAGCAGAAATAACACAATACTTTAATATTCCTTGGCAAATATTAATTAAACACACTGATATGTAATTACTGCCTTACGTTTTTTTCCCAGAAGGAATTACTGAGCAGTGTTTCAGGAACATTTATAGGTTGGTACTGGTCTTAAACTAAGTTACCAAAGCAAACAGCTGACATCTTCAGCAGCTTGGGCTGTGGTGCTGATAGAAGCGATAGTAATAATGAAATGCTTTGGTTGCTACAGTTTCAAATTGTGATTTTTGATGAAAAAAACAACAAAATTTGCGATCATCTTGTTACTTTAAATGTTTCAAAATCTGACTCTTAGTGCTCTACATATATATATATATATATAGGTGTTTGCCTCATAGAGAAAATTTTGACACTGACAGTTCTTCAGTCAATTTCTCAAGGAAATATGCATGAAGTCAGTGATAGAACAGGAATTATGATTTAATTCGAAGTGAGGAGACTGAAGAAGATATGCTTATTGATCTTCAGGTGAAATTGGCTTGGCCTCCTTTCTCGACTTCAGTTGAGCTCCAGAGTAGAGACATCAGCAAGAAAGAAGTCTGGAGCTTCTGATTTACATGGAGAAATGTCACTGATGTGAGAAATAAGGAGAGGGAGGATCCTAAGTAAAAAGCAGTGAAGGAGTCAAATATGATGAGGTTTGCACAAATAAATGACTTCTTAATATCTTGACAAATAATTCAATTTGTGAAAGAAGCCTATTTCTCATCCATTCCTTGCATTTTGGGAAAGTCTCAAATGTGCTTGTATAGATACAGTATTTGTCATAAAAATTATAAGAGGTATTTGATATATGTATCAAATATTGTTTTTCCAAGGCAGAGCTACCATCAGACTTCTTGGGTTGTTACTGCAGCCTCCTCTGAGGCAGACTGACAATGAATATAACTGATCTGAAGTAGCATAATCATTAAAATCAAGGATATTTTGGCTGTTTCGTCTGGAAATCCTATAGGTTTTGTGTGTGTGTATCTGTGTAAATGTGTAAACAAGAGTCATTAACATGATTTCTTAAACTCAAATCTTTATCCCGATAACTTAAGGTAGATGATAAACTAGATAATATTACTAGGAAAACTCAGAGTTTAAAAGAGATATGTTAAATATAAAGATGGATTATATAATGCCATTGCTGCAGAAGATACCAATAAATGTGTTCCCAATATTCTGTGTCCTAAATGTATATGTTTAATGTATATATTTCTATGTTTTAACAGGATGGATGGAGTTTTACAGGATGCAGCTCACAGTTAATTTTTTGGCAAGAGGAGCATTAACACAGTCTGGTATTGGGGACTTGGATTTTATTCCTGGATCTGTGGGCTATGAGCATTTACTCACTTTTTCCCCACTATTATCTCTCTGTTCCGTTTCTCTTTCTCACCTTTATAGTCTATAAGTCTCTTGGTGCAGAAACTCTGTATTTCTTTGTGTGTGCTCAGTACCTATATTCAGATCTTTGTCTAGACTCTTAAATGCACTTGTAACATGAAAATGGAAGCCTAATTACCTGATAACCTCAGTGAACCATTGTGTGATCTCTAGCATCTGAAAGTAAAAGACATCATGCAAATTACAATTACTGCAGTTAATGGAAGAGATGTTCTCTTCACACCAGCACATTTGGTTTTACTGACAATAATTCTAATAACGCTGCACACAATTTAAAAAAAAGTACTTTTGAATTGTATTTGGGTAGTATCAGAACATATTCCATAGTGACGGTGTCAGTGTCATGGAGTTGTACGGATTGCAGTTGAAATGTCTGAAAAAAAACCCTACTGCTAACAAGCTTCTTATAGGCAATTGCCCTAAAACAAATGGCATATTTCAAATTCTAAACTTTCTATTATCATCATTGTAATGCAATTAATATATTTAGTGAATAAGGTATTTAAGGTATAAAACCCCACCAACATATGTGTCTGAAGCAACTCAGTTGAGCAATTATAATTCTTTCATTTTAGTTTGCCTACATGGCTTTGAATTCTATAGCTATAACTCATCTTTTCACCAAGCTATTTTGGCTTTTCCTTTCAGTGATGATTTCACCAACTGAAATCAGATTTTTTCTCACTTCTGGAGAGAAACAGGGGTAAAACCCCAAGCTTGATCCTCCCCTCCCTATGGTGAATAAAACATAGTACAATGGAACTGATAAAGGGGTCTGATATCTTAGGCTTAATTGAACATAAACCGTGGAAGAGACAGACACAGAAAAGTGCTCCCTGGGCAAGAAGTGACCAAGAAACATGTTGTGAAACTTTGTGATAAGATAACGTTATCAGGTGATGCGATGTCATGAAGAATGTGTAACCACAATGGAAATTGTTACCAAAATTAGAGCCCCATGTAAGTGCCATGCAAGTAAAACCCAATAAAAACTTTGAATACTCAATAAATTTGGCTTCTGATCACAACCCAGAATGTCTCCCTCTCCATTGTCGATACCTCCCTTCCCCTCCCTGATTCCCTCTTCCATGGATTCTCTATTAAAACCTCTTAAAAAAACCCAAAAGATCTGGCTTCTGGCTGCCTTACCTTACTAGGACAATAGGAATAAGAGCCTTCATCCATAATCACTGCATTTTGGGCAGTACAAAGAGGAGTTGATTTTACTGCTCTGCAAGCCTCCATATTGAATTTAACCTTTGCCATGTTTATTTTTTCAGCCAGGAAAAAACCCAGATGTTTAGATTTCATGGGAGAAAATATATGTGTCTCATCTATTCATGAATGACAGAGGCCCTCACTGCCCCACTTGCTTTATTAATAAATCCATACTTTGGTGGTTGTGGATAGTTTGAAAGCTGAGATACAGGACTAGGTATGCCATCTTCATGCCAGTTGGGGATTTTCTGTACTTCATATTCTGCCCCAGTTCATATGTACCACTTATTTTCAGAGTATAATCAGTCTGAACTGAATTTATTTAAAGTCAGGTTAAACCACAAGAGAGATATTTATTGGAGATTTAATTTTACCAAACCAAATGCTCAGCTCAGTGATTTAACTTTAGAGTAATCTCTCCTTTCTACGGGGGATTAAAATTAATGACTTTATAATAGCTAGATCTTACAATTCACAGATGTAGCTCCCATTGCTATTCATGAAGGCTTACAAAATCAAGATGATATAAATGATCAAGTAAAAGGAACTTTAGACTAATCTTTCAAGTCTTTCATGAAAACAGTTTTCACTCTCAAATCCTTCCAACTTTGAATTCAATAGCAAAATGCTCATAACACCATTAGTTGTAACAAAAAAGGCATGTTTGCTAGATAGACTTATATGTGGGAAAAGGTAAGTTGTTGTTTTTAAGGTCTTCATGTAACCTGTAATATACATTCCATTTCACCAATGGAATTCATATGGGCATTTAATGGTGAATTTTAAATAAGACATGAACATTGAACATAGCCACATTAGGAGAAAAGTGATGGCTTGGCTTTAGTTCTAAATAAAAATATGCATTATTTTTGTAAATATTTAGATTTGTAGTGAGATGCAAGGGGATGTAAATGTACCTATTTCTGTATATTAAATCTACATTATATATTTTCTTTATTACAGCTTTAATATGAAGGGCTTCTAGGAATATTTTGGCATAAGCTCCATTGGTGATCATTTCCTCAGCATGAAACAGTGATTGTCCAGATATAATTCTCTGCAAAATAACTCATTATATTGATGCAAATCCATTTCATAAACAAACAAGTTTCTGTTACCCTTATCCATATATTTTTCTTCTTAATACTGTAGGAATTATGTAAAAATGAGAATTTATTAATCAAATTTAATGTCTGATTTCTCTGATAATGTGCTGTTTAAGCCATTTTGCATTAAAAATACGAATAAAGGGCATGTGTAAATATAAGTCAGAGGTGAGAGTTGTTTGCTGTTTTCCTGTTATGTGTGCAGCATATTAAGTGAGGAAAACTGGTTAATGTTCACACTAAAAGAATTCCAAATTATTCTGAGGGAAGTTATTCTCGATTAGTTCCCTTTGAAATTTGATTAAGACACATATAGATTAATAATGTAGGTAGCACTGGAGGGAAAACAAAACAACAAACATTAGGTGTGTTCTTTAAAAGAAATTAATTTAAAATTTTAAAAGGAAGTAGAAAGAAATTTAGATGTAACAGGGAACAAATCTTAAAGCTAAAATAAATAAATCACTTCAGTACAGTGTCCTTTAATGTCTTGATCACTACAGACAAATCGGTCTAAAATAAACAGTTAAGCACTAAACAAATATGTGTACTTTTTAAAATGGAATCTGCCAGCTTGTAAGAAATATAGGTAAAATTTAGGGAAAACTACTTCGGATAAAAGAAAAAAACTTTTTCCAAAGTCAAGTAGTAAGACTTTAAATTAACGCTACCAGCAATTAAATTAGAATGTATTTCCACATCTAAAAGAAAGGCGAAGACAAGCATTCAGATGGACCTACTTAGGTTTGCTTTTCCCACAATTTGGTCACCCCAAAGCCTTCTCTTTTCCAGGCTGAACAATCCCAGTTCTCTCAGCCTTTGGTGGAGAGGTGCTCCAGCCCTTTAATCAATTTTGCATTCTCTGGACTCACTCCAACAGGTCAATGTCTTTCCTGTGCTGAGAACCCAGAGCTGGATGCAATAAAACTTCATTATCTTATCCTCAACCACTGCATCTTGTTTCTTTGGGTTTTTGCTTAATTTTTCGTCAATAATGGCTACATAGCAAGAATGCGTGCCATCCATCAGACAAAAATCAACACAGAAATAAGCATTAATAGTCTAGAGCACAGAAAAATTGCTCTGATCTGAATTTAGAAGCTGATGGATACTTCCTTGATTGGAGAGTTAGGTTGTTGTCCACAAATGAGAATGACTCCTACTACTTACACATCACTTTACAGGAAATGATAAATTAAAACTTACCTTTAAGGGTGGCATTTTTTCTCTTTTAAAACTGACAAAGACAATTCTGTATCACCTACATTCACCGAGTAGATGCCAGCTTTGTTCTTTACACCAAAGAGTTAAAGGAACAAGGAAATGAAATTGTTCCAGGTTTTGAAGATGATCTATTTATTTTACAAAAAAAAACAAACCCCAAAACAGTGGAAAATTCAATTGACAGGAGGTTATCATTCTGTGAATTAAAACAAAATTCAGTGGCAGCACTACTTTGAAACCTCTAAAATTGATTATAATAATTTCCAATTGGATCCCAATAAAACACAGAGTGAAAACTCTTGACTCCTTATTCCTTTCTTGATAAAGGTCAAAGACGAAGCAAGAGAAGTAAAAGTGAAACTGAAAATGTAAAAAATAAGAGAAGCAATTAAATATAAAATGTAAAAATCTGCTTGAACTGGGAATACTAGTCTCAGTGGAAATATCACCCTGTGCTTCTTTTTCTGCTCTACCTCCCTATACAGGTGAATGAATTTTAATTTCTCTGTCCTGACAGCCACAGCTTTCAGGTCAAAGCTGACAGTAAAAGACTGACAGAGTGAAGGGGAGTAGGAGGGAAAATAAAGAAGCAAGTAAGTGCTGTGAGATTACACAGTGCTCAGAAAGGGAAAGCAAGAAGTTTGGAAATTATTTGTTTGGAAGGCAGCTGTTTGTAGCAGCAAGATGTTTAGCCTAAGGACATGCTCATTAGAATTACAGCAGTGAGTGAGATTTAAAATAAGAACTTGATGAAAATTGAGTTTATGACAGCGTCCAGATATCCAATGGCAAATTAAACAAGGCACATGTAAAGTGGTTAGAAAACTTTAAATGCAGAAGTTGGAACATGAATGCAGCTCCTTTTTTGACTTTTTCTGAAATCAGTTTGGATTGACTCCATTTGCAGAAGATGGAAACCACTCTGAAAAGAATTAAGCTAGCAAAGTGACTGGATTTTAGTGATTAAGATACTGAATCAGGTACTTCAAAAAGAATTTACAGATTAAGGCAAAGGATTTTCTAAAAGAGATCAAGTGCAAGAATGATTTGTAGGCCACAAGAGGTACATGATCATGTGGGTGTTAGTGAGAGGGTTAATAAAACATGTAAGTAAAGCAAGAGTAGAAACAGGTAGACTTCCTTCATGTTTGCTATTTTTGTTATCTATGCAGTGTTTCCTTCCTTTTGCATATCACTCCATAACTTCATAAAATGAAAACCTTATAAGGCTAAAAGTAGTTTATTATGACAAGAAAGAAAAGGAAAAAAATTGAAAAGAAAACAACTGAAGATGACTGTCTCTACCTTGCACTGAATATGACATACAAATGTGTCACTGAGATAAAGGAATATTACTTAAGAAAAATTCCATGTTTCTGTTTTGTGCACTTACATGCATCAACAGACAGCATGACAGACCAAAGAAGATGGGAGAACATTCAGAGCAAAATTCATGTGAGATGATGTACCTGACAAGTGCGTGTGAAGCAAATGTTTTCTGAAGCTCCCTGGGGAGTCAGGAGAATCAATGATCAGAGTTCCTTGATGTTTGAGAGTCCGGCTGTGCTCCACCTACCAGTAACCTCAGGTAGGTACACAGGCACTGAACGTCGGTGGGGGTGCCCAGGCTGAAGGAGGTGGTGGTTGCAGCGCTGCCTGTGTGGATTCCAGCCCAGTGTGACTGCTGCTGTCAGCCAGAGCCAAAACTACAGAGCAGAGTGCTCAGGACAATTTACTGAGCTACAGGTGGGAGGATCTGAGGCCATCTGTAATCTCTGCTCTGCTTTAGGAGGGAGTAAACAGCGAGAGAGTAGCCTGCCACACACAGGGGACTGTTTGGGCAGTCAGAATTTATGCTTGAGAACAGACACAAATGGATAATTTTACACATCTGTTTTCCAAGCTTTTCATGCGGTTATTGGAGAGGACACAAAAAGAGACAATACAAAATCTGCATGAAACCTGATAACAAATTGTCATTTCCTAATCTATCATAACAATAATTTATTTATTATAAAGTTTTTGTTTATTCCAGCTAAGAAGAGAAAAAAGTTTAGGCACAACCTATTATGTCTCTGCTGCAGAGATCTGAGTAATACAATGCTTCAGCAATTAAATGAATGAAGAACATCTCCACGGGGGAGTGTTTGGATGCTTAGGAAGATGATGTCACTCTGGTTCTCTAAAACTGTGTTTTTAAAGAGCAGTGGGCTTGTTGGAATGGGACTCTCTCCAGGCAGAGTCCCATCTAACATGAGACTTCTTTTTTATCAGCTTTACAGATGAACATCAGTTCGTAGTCTGGCTTCTAAGGATACAAACTATGTCTAGGGCAAACTGTGGAGATTTCAGAGACATAATTGTACCATTTTGAGGCCAGTAATAAAAAGAAATCTGTATGTTGGTGAAGACTCCTTAAAAAATAGTAATGAGGAATGCAAAACACTGAATCATTTCAATGAACAGATAAAGTTAATAATCACACACAGTCTCCAGGTATGTTAGTTTGAGGTTTTTTGGGTTTTGTTTTTTCTCGGATTGGTGCTATGCTTGGTTTTGTTTTCAATGAAACAGAGCAGGTTAAATTAGAGCTTCAGTATAGCTAAAGATATGAGAAGCAAGGTAGGCTGCATTGTGTCAGCTGTTAAGGCACCCTTGTACATGACTGAAAGATACTGTGATATCATCTCCTTGTAAGCTTTATACAAAAAAATCTATTTACAAAAAACTCTTTCACTTTGGCTTTTCTTGATAGTAAGAATGTGAGTTATCTCTCTTGAATGGCAGGTTATATAGTTGAGGAGCTTTTTTCTGTATTAAGTATGGATTTCTCTATTTTCATAAATGTAGCTAGATGTATGTAGCTGTATAATATGCTGCTACTGGCAGTGGAAATCAAGCTACAGTATTCCTCTTTTCCTTACTTAATCATGTAATTTCCGTTCTATACTTCAGAGAAAGACATCAAGGATACAGGAGCAAGAACAGGCAGAAGTGGGAAATCAATCAAACAATTTAATGAACTGCTTAGTGGAGCTGGAAAAGTAAAATCCATAGGTGTTTAAGAAATTGACCTTAATAACAGTCAGCAGGGAGAAATATCCCACCTTTACATGAGCATTAACAAGGCACTTGAAGCCCACTGTGGCACAGAATACACACAGCTCCAGCAGTTGGTAAAGTATGTTCTTCAAACCCTGTGTTGTGGACAGTTTTGTACTGCCAGAGCTAATCAATACGTGCCAACAAATATGACATAAAAAAGGGTCACTTTAGCAAAGAGAAGTGAGCTGGGCTGTTGTCCTGGTTCCAGCCAGGGTCAATTTTTGCAGTAGCTGGGAGGGAGCCTGACCATGGCCCAGAGGTTATTCTGCACCATCGCACATCATTGCTGCGTGTGGGGGGGCAGGGAAAGGCTCCTTTCCAGGACCCTTCAAGGCAGAGAGTATTGTCAGGGGTTTTCTATGGCAGGATGAGCAATTACATTGAAATAATTCACCTTTTTCTTGTATGCTCTGTCAGAATTGTTTTTGTTACAGTTCATTGTCTTATTTCATTGCTGTTTCCAGTAAGTGTTCTTAACCCCTGATCATTTACCTTTTGTGCTTCTAGTTCTCTTCTCCATCCAGCTGCAAGGGAGGGATGGGAGGATGGGGGAGTGAGGGACAGGTGCATGGCTTGGAGTGGTCTCAGTAGGAACACTAAATCGGAGAATTATCCTTTCCATGAAGAAATTCTTGCTGATCTGTAACTTGAACCTTCCTGGTGCAATTTGAGGACATGACCCCTTGTCCTGTAAAGATATGGCCATGTGTTCAGATATGTGTGTGCAAGGACACACGTACATTCCCACCTCCACCTCCCACCCCAACTTATTTTCATCAAAATACATCTGCAGTCTAATTTATTTATTTGTTTTACATGTTGGCAAGCCTTTTGGTAAAGTGTTCTTACCATGTCTTCCCTTTTTGTCTTCTCTGCCTCTGGATTTATTCTCTATGAATTAAATAAATATTTGTCCTGAAGATTTTAAGTAGGAAGGTCACACATCAGCATAATTGCATACAGGACTCTCAACATTAATTCAATCTCTATAACTGATTTTAAAACCAACCACCAGCAGGATCCATCATCCAGAATGGCTAGGAACAGGACTAAATCAAAGTTATATGTGGTATGAACCACCTATGGGTTGGGAAATATGTGGCATAAATTGAAAATAATTAAACAAATGTTTTCTGTTGTGAATAGGTCAGACTGGTTTTAAAATCTGGAAGTTTTTAGAAGGTGTGTGAGTTGCTGCCCAATAGTATGCTGGGACTAACCATGCAGAAGAAAGTATGTAAGCCATAAAATTTAATTTACTTAAAGCCAACAATCTTTATATCTTTTAGCCTCTGTTCCAATTAGAGTGTGAAAATATTTTTTTTTTCCAGAAGCCTTAGATAAAGTTTTGTAAAGTGCTATTCTACAGTACAGGAAACAGAATCTCAGCAATTTGGAATGGTCAGGTGAAGCCAACTCTTTGTTTTTTATTCCACATTATGCAAAGCTCTCCCAGAAAACTTAATTGAAAATATTCAAAGACAGATTTTCTTTAGCAGCTTTGGGGCAATTTCAGTCACTGACTACAAAGGCTTCAGGATCAAATTCTTCATTTTCATTACTCAGATTCAGATGCAAACTGCGTGACCTGAAACTTTATCAGAACACTTTCATGTGATGTCTTGAAGTATTTAATTAAGTTTTCAATTAATCATTATTTGAATGTTGGCCCTCCTGCTGCTGAAATGTATTTGATTAATAATTAGGCCACATTTAAACCTACATTAGTGAACGTACATTAAGCTTTTAATAAAAGAAAACTCCACAAGCTTCTATTCAGATCCTGCACATGATATGAAAAGGACTCCTCAGATTAGGTGACTCTATTTAGGAGAATGCCATTTCAATTTAGTTAAATTCTAGTTATGTTGAAACTGGGTACATAACACACAAAACGAGCTGAATTTGAGAAAGATTCTTTCTTCTTCACTCACATGTTGTATTCCTTCACATACATTCTGAATTATATTAAAGGAATTCTAGAACGACATTGTTTCCAACAGGGAGTAATCCACGTGATTTACTCTGAAGTTGTGACCTTTACAGCTACAATGTCTCTCCTCTTATTATTGACATGCTTTGCAATCAAATACAAGATGGAAATGTCTTAAAATTAGAGGACTTGAATATTTTAATGCATGCAAATTTCCCCCTTTCAGAACATCCTTTTAAAGAAGAGATGCAGGAAAGAACAAAAATTATGCTCATTTTCAGATAGCCCTTACAATAATGTGAGAATAATTGCCTAAACCTATTGTACCAAAACCAATCACAATTATGCTGGTCAAATATGACGGAAAAAGGATGATATTGAAAACAAACGATATATTGGTAGGGAAATTTCCAGTTCTAATCTAGAAGGTTAGTAATTCACCTGAAGACAAACCCCAAAGATTTATCTGGGTTTCATATATAACATTTGTGTTTTGGGTTTTTTTTTTTTACTTGGACTTTACTTTTTGCAAGATCCCATATAATTAAAATTTAAATAAGAAAAACTGATCGAAATGTTGCCAAATCTAGTTGAGTGGAATTCTGAAAAAGCTATTGTAGCCCTAGTAGAGCATAAAGACATATATAACCTCATAAACCCTTATCTGTTTTATGTTGAAGGAGGCACCCAAAGGTACTAATAATGCACTCATTTGCAACATTTTGCAAATTTTGCAACAATTTTGCTTTTGCAACATTTAGCAAAATTTTTTGCAACAGTTTTCCTTATCAAGATCCAGTCGGTATTTGAACACAAAGTAGTATCAAAATCGTCTCCCGCTAAAATGAATTTCTCAGTTCATTACATTCATCAAAGTTCTCAACATTGCAGAAGGTTTAAATTGCTTACTAAAATTTCCAATCTTATTGCTTACCTTTAAAGACACTTTTAGAAAAAAGAAAAAAAAGTAGAAGAAAAAAATTAAATCCATTGATATGGTAACTCTACAAGAATAAACTCACTGTTTATATTTGCTTTGCCTCATTCTTTTCATTCCCAGAGGCTTTTTTTCTCATTGGTATAACATAGTTAATCAATTCAGGATACTAGCTAGAAAAATTGTGAGTATGACTGCAATACAGATAGAAAGACAATGAGCAGTATGGTAAATATGTGACTATGGAAAAAAAACCCAAACCATCTTTTTTTTTTTTTTTTTTTTTTTTTTTTTTTTTTTTTGTCAGAATGCATTTTTCAACACAGCGAGATGTGATTCTAAAGCTTATGAAAAAGAAGGGCTATGTCCAGGATGTTACATGAACTGTAAAGTGACTTAGGTACTTTTCAGCTCCTTGTTCCTATGTTAATATTCATTAACACTAATTTTCTTCAGAGTATTAGCATTCAAAATGGGAAAAGGAGTAGCAAGAGTCCCTACACCATCACACCATCAAGTAAGCCCTGGAAAATTGTGCAGTTTGAATTTTAAAGATTTTGAATGTACTTAATGTTGCTGCAGCCTAACGTCTGTAGGCAATTCGTGATGACTTTGTTTGTTTTTCCTTTCATAATATTTCTGTTAGTATGCAAGTGAACATTTGAAGTGAAGTCAGAATAGGTGAATGTATTTGAATGGTGTCCATGCTTAGATACTCACAGAAACACATATAATGTGGGAATTTCGGACCTGATTATTTTCTGGACAGATAATGCAAGATTTTTGTTTCTTATTTCATCCTGATCATCCTTATAGTTCAAGGTATTATCTGTGCTGATTATCATAAATATATTCCTTGATGTAAAAAAGTAATGCTTTAAGTAAGAAACCAACTTGTGAAATATTTACAGCTGTTAAAACATCCCCTGAATTTTGAAACACTTAAACACAGATACATAGATTAAGGATATGATGCTACAGACTGTTTAATTCACTCTGAGAGTGAAATTATCCAAGATTTTCTGCATAATTCTTCAAACCCAAGTGCATTCTTTGTGCAAGATATGAGAAAGGAGAAGGTGTTATTTTTGTTGCCAGAAATCTTGGACGAGAAGAAATTTGAATTTTACTTTATTTAGCATCTGGTTTTGTTCTAATAGTCAGACACACACTTCTCAGAAGGACTGAATGCTGGTCATTCTTGCCTCTGTCTTCTAAGGTGGAAATAGAAGCAAGCAGGAATACTTGTTCAGTGATGAAGAGACCACAGCAGAGATCATAATGGATACTTGGGCCCCAAAAAAACAGGAATAAAAGTAATTTTTTTTTAAATCTAGTTTTATAATTCTATCGTTGTACTGAAGTGGCATGTGTGTCATGTGAAATTAAGTCTATGACAATACGTCTAGGCTGTTTATTAAGTTCTGTTGAAATGAAGTTCATTAGATGAAGAGTTTTGGTTCAGAAACACTAAAATGGGTACTGATCTCTCAACTGGTCAGAACACAGTTTATTTCACACTTATGTCTTCCTACTACACTTAGAAACTGGAAGCAAAGTGATTTTCTGTCTGGTGCCATTTGAAGCTGAATATATGTAGTCTGTGCTGGGTGTACTGCTGACATTATTTTACCTTGTGTAAATCATTAGTCATTTTCTGGAATGATATCAGGACTCTCACCTTCCTCATTCATGGTAATTTTTGTTCTGGATATTTTTTATCTAAAATCAGCCATGTCACATTCAGAAAATTCAAAGGCCTTGTTGGATATATATATTTATTTTTTGTTTTTTTGTTTTGGGTTTTTTTTTGTTTTGTTTTGTTTTTATTTTTTTACTATGAGATTAAAAGAAAAACAGGACAATGAAGTGTGAAGCAGTACAGGCTACACTACAACCCCCAGATGAACATTTTTCTTCTCTTTTTGTTTTTATACTGACCAGCAGGATGAAGGTCTGCTTCTTTAGCTGGCTTGTGGAAAGTGTCTTTGTTGCTATTGCTTTTATAGGATTTACAAAAGTGTCACTCGGCTTGCTCCAACTCAGGGCAGCTTTTTGCCTGTGGTTTGTTTTTTTTTGTTGTTGTTGTGGTTTTTTTTGTTTGGTTGGTTTGTTGTTTGGTTGGTTTGGGGTTTTTTTTGTTTTGTTTTGGTTTTTTGTTTGGGTTTTTTTTTTACGTTGAGTGCTGAATGGAAAGAAAAGAATTTACACAAATAGAAGAACTTGTTACACAGTAAGTTGCATGTATTCTCCTAACAAAATGCAAAACCAATGCATATTCACATAGTGAGATAAAAAATATTTCTTTAACTTTAATCCCAGTTTCCTGTATTTCAGTTTGTGTTTTAGGCTCTGTATTGGGAAGGCAAGAATTGGACATACCGAGACCACAAGTAAGGTCTCAAAGACCCAGAGACAGTTTTGGTTTGCCTCTCAAGGCACCAAAGAGATAACTGATGGTGGAACCAGTGACATCAAAAAGCTGGGAAAGGAAGAGATAAGGATTCTACTTACAGTGGTTAAACAGTGGGAACTTTTCTGGATGATTGAGCATTTTGAATGAAGGATATTTACCTATTCTTCCATGAAAGCACAGAAACATTCAGATCCAGTCACTTCTATATTTGAATAAATTTTGGGTTAGCACTTCAATTCACTGAAATGAATTAACAGAAAAGGAGATCTGGTATAATATGGTATAAAATATTTCTAAGTAGTAGGTTTTCCCCTCAGGAAAGAGCTGAAAGGATCATTTAAAAGAAATAAAAACAGTCTGAGAGTCATGAAAGAGAATAGGAAGAAAGAACTTCCTTAAAATAAGGATGGAATTAATAAAGCAAATGCAAGTACAGGTGTCTGCTTTCTTCACCCAAGTCAGTTAATATTCCACTTTTTACTCTTCCAGACTACTGATCAAACTGTGAAGTATTGAAATTGATCTGACTGTGTGACATATTCTGAACCTGCTGTGTTAGTTGTGCTGTATGGTAGGATACACATAGAGAATGCAAGTGCTGTAGGTCAGATAGAAAGTGATCTTGGAAGCCAAGAGATTTCCCTTTTCTTAGGGAAGGCTGCTGGATTAGCAGTGTCTTCAGTAGAGGAGAACATGATTTCCTGCCGAGCATAAGCCAGCTGATCTTCTGTGCCAGTGGTATGTCCACCAAAGGCTTGCTATGAGAGATTGCATTTCCTTGTGTGATATCTGGATGTAATGGGCTTCAGAGACAGGGCTCCCACACCTCGAGCTTGTGATCTGTCTGTGCTTTCTATCAGTGTCATGCCAAGGGCTTAAGTCTGAATAAAGGCTATGGAAAACAACAATGTTGCTAGCTATGCTTTCCTTCTGCTAAAAGAGGCCTGTGCATTATTTTTGAGCAACAAATGCATGGAAATTAAGCACATTGTATGTAGGTACATCTGTTCCATGTGCTGCAGATCTCCTGTAACATCACTTAAAATTTAGTAAACAGCTTAAGGCATCTGATTAACTGCCCAGTATTTACTTTTAGGTTCACAGGCCAGATAGCTGAATCTTTGGGTGGGAATTCTAAAGGTACTATCATTAGTTGCTGCAATACTATTGACCTCTAATGGGAGCTAGATACACATTTGCTCTGTGTTGTCACAGCATTAACCACTTAGCGTGTAAGTTGCTAAGAAAATTATCAACTGATCAATTAAGTGATGGCAGTAGTAAATACTTCTTTGGAAGTGTGGATGAGATGACAAATTTATGTAAGAAAGAGCTCTGCAAGAAAATGAAGAAGTGAACAAGTTTTGCTTGTCCCAGGAAAATGTTTCTCTTTCAGAGGTGGGAGAGTGTACTGTGAAGGCATTCACTGGGCCACAGTATTGCAGACAACAGGATCAAGTTATTTTTCCCAGTTAGGAGCACTGTGATAAACTATAACAGGGCAAACTAAGATGTGTATTCAGTTGTGCAGCTCTACTGTAGAAGTCAGAAGATGGCAGTCTTTGCTCACTGTTGAAATTGATGCACAGCTAATCCTAATAACACCTGAGTTGTGAAGAACAAAATGAATATGCATCTCTGTGTGTATTTTTAGTTGTTAAAATTTAATTTCAAGTGCATCTTCTTAATGAAAAAAATGTTAGCTCTTTATTTTTTCCTTAGAAATCATTCGTGTTGATGGCAATCAAAATATTTGTTTATATTCACTACTCCAAACAAGAAAAGAAAAGCGTTTTTTGTGTAAAAATGCTCTACACACAGTCTAAGACAGCTAAAAAAGGCACAGGTGAGCACAGACAAACGCATCCAAAAGGAGGATAGGCAGAGGCTGCTCAGTAACTGTGTACACCTGGAGGCATCTAAACCTCAGCATCCAATTACATTCTGCTTCTGTCCAGGTCAAAAGTCTCCTCATGCAAGTAGCAAAGAATTTAACACATTTTCAAGCCACACAGGGATCCAGGAATTAGAAAGAAATGGGTCACTATTCCCCAAAGGCTTGATCCAAAAGGTAAATGTTGAACATTGCTGGTATGCACAGTAGGGTCTGTACTGCCCATTATATCCTGCTGATCCAGAGCATATCAATGTGCAAATTTATACTGAAGCCTTCCTGACAGAAGGAAACTGAGCTTTTACCTTACATGTTCCTAGTTGCAAAGCAAGGAAGCACAAGCAGTTCTACCCCTGCTGATAAAGGCACTTCATCATCATTAGAAATTTTTGTTCTGGTCTCTTCTCACATGTAAGCAAAAAGCCATCTTAATTTAGAAAATTCTTACTCTGATGAAACAAAATGCATAAATTTCTTGCAACAATCTTTGGAAATAAAGAAATCACCCCATCACCCAAGGACCTTATCCAGCGGGACATACAGATACAAGAATTTTCCAGCCTCCTTCTGGCACAGCTATTTTGAATGCTTTCTTGACAGGTGTCAGGCTTTAACCAAATTAAAACACAGCCCGGTACCAACCACTATGAACAAAATTATCTCTACCCCAACCAAAACCAGCACAGCAGACAGCAAGGTATATCCTGTTCTTGAATAGTTTAATAGTCTCTCCTGTAATTAAAACAATGTCATTGGGAAGGGACTAGAATTTGGATGTCTTGTATTTTGGTGAGTGTCCTGACCATCAGTCTGCTGCAGCCCAATGTTTCCTCTTACCATTCTAGCAAGCCTTTGTCAAGTATACATAAAAAACCCCTGCACTTTTTATTAAAGGACTAAGAATTTGAACACTGGGGGGCTATATAAGTCCTTTACAAGAGACATTGTCTGCCAACACCAGTGATTTAGTGCTGGAGGTTTCCCTGTGGGCACAAATTAATTTTATGTGTACTAGGAATCTCACAGCACCCCTTCAAGAGCATCTTGAATGGGCTTTAAATATCTTCCTTCCTGAGGGAACCAAGGTTGGAGGGATGCTTGACTTCATCAAACACTGAAGGGACATGTCAGAAACCCCTACTTAGAGCAGGAAAACAAAGATCTCCCACAAGCAGCTGTCTGCACTCATTTGGCCTCACCTTGAATATCATATGCAGTTTCAGTCACCACAATATAAGAAAGATATTAAATTATTAAAGAGCATCCAAAGTAGAACAATAAAGATAGTAAAGGGCCTGGAGGGGAAGTTGTTGTATGAGGAGCACCTGAGGTCAGTTTGCAGAAGGGGAGGCTGAGGAGACCTCATTGCTGTTTGCAGCTTCCCCTTGAGGGTAAGAGGGGCAGACACTGATCTCTGCTCTCTGGTGACCAGTGACAGGACCCAAAGGAATGGCTGGTCCTGTGTCAGGGGATGTTTAGGTTGGCTATTAGGAAAAAGTCCTTCGCCCAGAGAGTGGTTGGCCACTGGAGTGGGCTCTCCAGGGATTGGTCACAGCCCCAACCCTGACAGAGTTCAAGGAATGTTTGGACAATGCTCTCAGGCACATGGTGTGACTCTTGGGGATGGTGCTGTGCAGGGCCAGGAGTTGGACTGATTATCCATGTGGGTTTCTTCCAGTTCAGCATATTCTGTGATTCTGAGTGCCTGGGCCATCCCTACAAACTTCACTGCTAGTCAAGATGTGATGTGGATGTGGAGCCCTGGGATCACCATGAGCGGCATCACATTCAACTTTGATCCTTCATTTTTCTGCCTCATCTGTCAGTGACATACAGGTATCTATCCTCCTGAAAACAGTTGTTTTTTGGCTCTTTTATTGAAACATTTTAGTCTCAACTAGCATTCTTACATCTTCATACAGAATGTTTTATTTTCTCATTACTGACTATAAAAAGGCAAGCGGAGCGTGTACAGCAAAACTTCATTCCGTATTCATTTTTGGCATCCAATCATTTAAACTTAGGTTTAAAAAGCTCTGTATTTGAAAATGTTGATTCTAGTCCCAGTTAATAGGAACCAAACAATAATATCTCTAATTTGTAACTTCATTTCTATTAAGGCTTGATTATGAACTAAGCTTTAAATACATGGAGACTTCTTATATGCTAAGTTCAATGAGCTAGAACATCTTTAGCAAACTTTTTGCTCTTCCTTAAGCTTAAAGTCTCCAATTTGCAATTTAGAAATAATGCATCAGATAAATAGCCATTGAAATTCAGCTCTGTTGACTTAAACAGAGACACATACATTTGAATAAACCCCAAATCCCAGATGTCAGATGATACAAGCTGGTCGGTTTTTTAAAATCAGTTTAATATTAAATATTAAGAGGGTTTTTAAATGTCAAATTTTGAGAAAATGAACAAGTATATCTTACTGTAATACTCTCATTATTAAGACTAGCTGTGATAACTAATAATAACTCTTAAACAGTTTTGTCTTTGCTTGCAAAGGAAACTAGAAAGGTAATAACTTTAGTTTTGAGCAAATTTGAAGTTAGGGAAGCAATATTTGATTGACAATTCTGTTGAGGTTTAATATCAACATTGTATCTAACTCTTTGTTCAAAGGGAGTTAGTGTCCCACTTGTATGAAATTTGGTAGCAACATTATTTACTAATTTTACTTTTTTCCATCCCTTTAATATAAAATTTTAAAAAGTCCCAAAACCAAAGCAAATCAAAACCCAAAGGAACTCTCTTCCTTGCAAATATTATTTTATCATTTTATAGAAATCTGTTTCAGATAATTTCGCAGTGAAATGCAAGATGTAGTAGGTAATATTTTTACCAGAAAATTAGTATCATGAAGAAAAAAGAAATCATTGGAAAATGTGTATTTATGTACAATTTTTATTTTAATTTGTCTGTTTTATTGGAAACAGAAAGTTTTCTATTAAAAGACAAAAAACTCAAACCCAGCTCCTAGATTTGCCTGATTAAGTAGTCTGGTGCCATATTGATAAACAGTGCATAAGCACTGTAATTTGTCTGAGATTAGAGACACTGATTTAACAGTTCATTGCTCAGTCTTTATGCTGATGGCACTCTATTGATGTAATTGTTTTTGTTTAGAGGTGTTGTGTGTGTTATAGGTGTTTGGAAGATGTAAATTCTATGGCTGTTACTTACTTTGAATTATTAATTTATCCTTTGAAACTTCTGAATAGTCTCTGCAAAATATTTTTGTCTAATTTCAAAGAATGCCAAAACACAGAAATTTAATTTTAGAGAATTCCAGTTCTCTTTCTGAGTGAAACTGAGTTGAAAGACAAGTCTGCCAAGGACTCCAGCACCTTCCATGTCACTTAAGCCGACTGTGCAAGTCGAGATGGAAAATGTGCAGAGGAACTGGTCTCAGCTTCACACAGTGAGAAGTGAAATTTTCCTTGTCCATGTAATTCACAGAGAAGAAATCATAGTTGTAATTTATGAAAGGGTATAACTGAGCTAATACTGTCCAGCAAGACCCATGTTTTTCATCAGTTACAAGAATGTTTCATGCAAGTGCTGTTGCAATTACTTTTGAGGTAATCTTTTAGTAGATATTTTTCATAAATTTACATATGATTTTAGAGACAATGATTTTTAAAGTCTCAGTCAACCCAATTCCTTATTTGAGAAGGAAATTTTTCTAAGTGCGTGCTTCCTGTGATAAATATGAGATGACTGAGCAAACAGATGGAGGCCTAGGACAGCTTTTCTTAATCATTTATGGAAGAAATGTCTTTATAATTCTTGCAAGATGTTTTGCAGGTTAGCCCTTATTTGGGATGGCCTGGTATTAGAAGGCAGATACTAATCCTCATTATGACATTTATCTACAGAACTCACACAGACATCCAGAGGATAGGTGAGAGACTTCCAAAAACTGATCACAAGTTAATGATTTTCTGCACTACCAGCAGTCGTTCTGAGGTGGGTCAAAAGATTGATTGAAAACAGTAGTGGAAATACAAGCACAAGATAGGCAGAGACTGTGTCCATATTCAGCATAAAAAAATGTCAAGGTCTAAGAAATATTTGACTAAAATTCTACCAATAAGATCAGATATCATATCTAGGGAAAAGAAGGTCAATGGACTAGCATACAGTTTGTCTTGTGTTTGTGACAAAAGATTTAAATACTCTTTGCAATACTGTGAAAAAATATTTATAGATCTTAGCTTGTTCCAATGAAAGTAGCTTTGAAATTACTTGCCACTATATGATATCATATTTGATTGCTTTTATTTTCAGAATTTATATAAGTTTTTTAACCCAGATTTGTTAATAATTTGATTTAGAGGATTAAGCACAATTGTGTAGCTGCTACAGGAAATCCACAATTCTCCCATTCAACTCCTCATATTGTCTTGCACCTTGTATTTTTCAAATGTGCTCTTGCTAAGACCACAGCAATGAAAACACCTTTTTATTTCAAAACAGAGATGATCTCTGGGGTACTAAGATTTCTCTTCAGGTAGGTGACCCAACTCTTGCCTATACACTAAATTTAGCCATCATTTGATGCAATGCAAAAGAGAACTTGCCTTGCCTACTCCAGCAGGAAGGGCTCTAGACCTTAGTATAAAAGATAAGAAACCATTTTTTCCTATTCATCTGTCTTCCCAATATTTAAAACTTTTTCCTCTGGTGCAGTGTGGTGAAACTGAAAGTTGGTCTTTAATGTTGTTGTTTATAGAAGGTTTTTGTATCTTGACAAGATAAGAAAGGTTAGTGAAGGCAAAGAGGGGCAGTGATCAGTTGGCTGGCCTTCTTTCTTAACGAGGTGAACAAAGCTTAAAGGAGCTGTGACAGGAATTTGTGCAGCAAAATCTGCATGCTGCCAATTCCTCACATCCCTAATGCCTCCCTGAGCCACCTTGCCGTTGTCTCTTAGTTGAGGGAAAGAGTTTCTACTGTAGAAATAATTGAGCTACATTTGAAAATATGGCATACAGCTACAATTACCAGCCACTTTGAAGATCACTAATATTCTTTGCCCATAGTGTCACTCTCTCTCTGTCCTAGTAAGCATTTCAGCAGCTACATAACTGGGCCAAGAAACAGGCAATTCAAGTAACCAAATAAGTACCCTAACATTATGTCAACTTGACCTTTTAATGAGTAGTTCCAGCAAATCAGTTGTCAATGAATTGTCCTTTTAATCTAGTAATTCTGTAAAAATTATCCATATGTAAAATTGTTCTTTTCCACTCAAAAAAAAAAAGAAACGAAACCAAAAACCTCTTCAATGCCTCTGAGAATATGAAATATGTGTTCTTAGACAAAAAAAAAAATTGAGGAATTCCACTCATCTTAAGAGGATCTCTAGATTCCCACTGCAGAAACTGAGCAGAAGTTTACTACCAATTTCCTTTCTCTGCTTGTTTTCTGGCTGTTACATCTTTGTATGTGTACCAATTTGAAAGCAAACCAGTGAGAGATTCTAAGTCAGAACTATAATTTAATAGGAAGATTAAAATATAGGCAGAAAACACTGGTTAAACTGACAGTCAGGACACAACCTGACACCCTGTCAGGCAAGGGGGTGGCAGAAATCTGATTAAATGGTGGCTGCAGTCCTGTTGAAATGACAGATGTGGTTCTGTTGAAGTAGTAAAAGGGTCTGTAGAAGGGTCTGGTCCTCCTCTGTAGGTCCAGTGGTGGTGATGTAGCTCTTGTCCTCTAGGAATCCAGTGGATAAGGCTGCCTGTGGTGTTCCAAACCTTAGATTTTTATCCAGGTAGGAATGCTTGGTTCCTCCTCCTGGGCAGAGCATCTCACGATGGTATGATGTAATTTCATGAGTTGTGCAGTGAGGCTTGATGGCCCATCAATATCCCTCAGAGGGAGTAATCAGGAATATATCATGGACATGATAAAGAACACTCCTTTGACTGGTTTTAACAGCTCATGGAGAAGGTGATAGGTTACATAGTTTTGGTTACATCTTACACTGTAATCTAAGACAGTATGGTTAAATTATTTTTTGTTTGACTCCTTACTTCTTTGTGTTAAATAGCAATACTTTGTAGCTGACAGATACAGACCTGTCACCAGTTCTTCTATTAGATTTAGTAACATGATGTGCAACTACCATGAAAGTGAGGCACATTATAGATAAAGCTCCTTAAACAATCTAGGATGTGGCACTCCTTGAGCAGACCAAAATAAACCCCAATTCAAACAAACTAAACAAATATTTTAAAAGAGTGTTATTTAGTACAGTTTGGTACTAAATAAATTTTGGAAAAACCTACTGAACACCACATACCCCTCTCTCCATGTTTATCAAAGTAAGGACGATTTTATCTTGTGTATTTACAGGTAACCAAATAAAAATCCAAAAGACAAGAATTAAGTCATTGGATAATTTGTCAGCTTAAAATAACTGAGACCAGTTTGGAGCCAACACACAAATTTGCAGCCAACACACAGTGTTTGGTTCAATGTTGCTACATGATGGGATATGTGGAAAGCTGCTAATATTATAACACGAAATAATGAATTTATGTGTAC